CGTTCATGAGGCGCAAGGAGAACACCAGCTTCTCCTGCGCCGACAGCGTGGCGCTGAAGGGAGCCCAGGTGGGCCGGATGGCGTTGCTGCTCACGTTCTCCCTCCTGGGTGAGGACCACCGCCCTGCATCAAGACCCGGCCCCGTGCTGGTCCCCGGGGATGGGGCTGGGGAAGGGGGTACCAAGGATGGGGAGGTCTTACCGGGGGTAGTGGCACTCGATGGGGATGACGGCGGGGTTGCTGCGGATGATGACGGGGTTGCTGGCGGGGCTGGGGTCGTAGTTGAGGAGCGTGCGGTAGATGAGGGAGTCCGGCGTGATCTGGGCGGAAAAGGGTGGAGGAGCCGGTGGAGAGGTCACCACCCCACCACCCAGCTGCTTAGCCATCCTTTCCCAACTGGGAAACGCTGGGGGAATCCGAAGGAAGGGGGGGGAAAAATCTGGGGGAAAAGGGGATGGAGAAGGAGCCCTGCTCCGTTCTCAGCAAGTTAAACTTCCTAATGGGCCAAAACACGAGCGAAACGGGTCTGACGTGGGGGCTTGGCACCGTCGGCGTGTCTCCAGCTGAAAGGGCAAAGCAGATTTGGGGGGAAAAAAACCCACTCTGGTTTGGGGGAAATACTCGCTCGTCCTTCCCCTAGGGTGTTCCTCGATGGTGCTCTCCGTCTGGCAGCCGGATCTCCCCCCGGCATCACGGAGGGATGCTCAGCTGCTCCGGGGGTGGGATGCTGGAGGGTAGGGGAAGGAGAAGGGCTTACCTGCACGATGCTGCCGCACTCGTGGAGCCCGGCGGTGAAGACGACGGTGTTGTGGGCAGGGTTGAGCGAGGAATGCTTGCACGCCGCCGGTCCTAGCGTCAGGTCGGCTGCGTTGACCAAGCGACCGGTGCCGAAGAGGTCCCGGTGCACCGTCACCACCAGCTGAGCTTCCTGGCACTCCACCCTCACCGGCTGCTGGCTGGTCACGGCTCGAGATTGGGGGTCTTCCACCCAGGACCAGGCGTGGGGGTCTGCCCGCGCCCCCCGGCTCGCCGGCTGGCCCCAGGAGAAATCCCAAGGTGGGTAGGAGGCCACCTCGCCCGCCGCCCAGCAGAGAAGAGCGAGGATCAAGCCGCTTTCGGGTCCCATCCCTTCTTCTTCCAGCAAAACCCCGGCACGGAGAACCAGCCTGGTTCCTCCAACCTTTATATCCCCCGCCCCTGGGCTCCCGTTTGGGGACCAATGGCACCCAAAGGCCAACCCTCCCGCCTGCGGGGAGAGGGGTGGCACGACCCAGTCATTTCCGAGGTGCCGGGACCCCCCGCCCCACCACCTCCTCCCCATTCCCAAGGCTGCCCAAGGCAAGAAGGAAAAAAAAAAACCAAAAAAAAAACCCCAAACCATCTTCGTCAGCCTCTTTGGGGGAAGTTGTTTATAAAACTCAGCAGAAGCCGGAGACGGGGAGACTGGTACAAAGTGGCTTGTTTAGGGTTCGAAGGTGATAAGGGGCTTTTCAAGGCTGCTGGGGGTGGTGACAGGAGCAGGGTCCCTGATCCTAATCCCGCTGCTTCCCATCCCATCCCTGCCCGGCGCCATCGGGCCCCCCGGGATTTCGGTTTTCCGCTCGGATGCTGATGTGCTGGGGTTGGGGTTTGGTGGTTTTTTTGGTGGAGGGGGGGAAATTTGGCCGGGAACACACCTGCTCACAGCTCCAGCCTAAATAGGGGCTTTCAGCATCTCCCGCACTCCTCAGCGGGACCGGGATGTTCGGTCAGTGCCAACCCAGCAACAGGTGACGGAGCGCTCTCACCACT